TGGAATCTGATTCTGACTCCACAGACTCTGTGGAATCAGATTCTGGTTCACTACCTGACTCAAAACTGCTAGACAGGTAGCCCTCTTTTAGCTGCCAAGTGAGGGATGGTGCGTCAGATGCATCCAAGATACCGCTAGAAGGGTTCGCACCCGGTTGGTCTTCGATCATGGAAACGGTCAGGTTATCCCCCAAGCTCTCTGAGTTGATCTAAGGATCCGAAAGGAGACATGCCAGTGCTGCTCCTATTTCAAGTTCATTGCTGTCGAAATCAATTCATGTATTCTTCACAGCTTCAGCAGTTGGTCCAGCTATTTCTTCCGTATCACTGTCTTACAGCTGCATGTCAAAGAAAATCTCAAAGTTGGGAACCTACTACTTCTCAGAGTTGAACCAGGGCTCGGGGAAACCATTGAATGGGAAGTCTTCACCCTCCAAAACAAAATGGCCATTCAGGGTTCCCCGAATTGGTTGGTGCACAAGTTTGTAGCGCTTCCCGGTCTGCTTTGTTCTGGCTTTTCTAGCCATTTCTTTCACTTTCCTCACCCAGTCATCTTTGGTGGGTGTATAGCCTAGACCAAAGGCATGTGGGTTATGTGACACATTGGCCAATGCAGTGACGCCTTTCCGGCTGCTTCTCCCTAGTCCCATTCCTGGCATGTGTTGGAGTTTGTTCATGAAGTACACAGATTGGGTGCTAACATGCAAGCCCTCATCAATAGCCAGGATATTCTGCACTACCCGGGCCTTAGCCAAGGTAAACCCTAAAAGGAAGACATCCTCTTCACCATGCACAATCTCCAGCACAAGCGTAGTGACCTCTGGCAGAGGATTTATAGATGAATTCCCGAAGACTAAAGTTACCCCTTTCCCATGGGTAGATGAAAAGTCATATCATGAGTTCGAGTCAAGTTCTCTAAATCCCCAACAGAGTCGCCAAAAACTATGGCTCACCTTTTTCGCGCCCCCTCTCGGAAGGTTTGAAAGAAAGCCCTACAGTTCGGACTCCCGCGGTTCTGAATGTAATCTCACAAGTGTAATGTGAAACTTATAAACACCAAAGAGTCCAAATCTGGCAAATCTTTTTAGAAAATCGATTTTAAATCAAATAATGCCAAAATTGGACTGCTTTGCCAGATATAGAGTCGCCACCTAAATATTTTATTTTTGGAGAAATTTAGGAATCCCATGACTCGTGCCAAAGGCCACGGGTCCGTCATCACCAAAGTTGCCTCGACTCGGGAGCTTGAGTATGCGAGGGGAAGGTCATGAATTGAGCACCTCCGCTCGCCCGATCAAAGATCGGCCTCTACTCATCGTGATATGGTTTTTCATAAATATTATGCGTTTTTATTTCGGTTATTAAACTAGCTTTACTATGTGATGCGCACAATCAAGTACAAACTAGTTTGCTCAATTTGGAACAATTCAACTCATGTTTGTTTACGAAAATGGTTTGAATTTGCCACCTCAAGTGGGCTTAAAGTTTGTGGATTTGCCACCAAACATAGTAGGCTTAAAACATGATTTGCCACTCAACAAAAAGGGCTTAAAACGCACATTCGTTGAATTGTTCCAATTCAAACAATAAGTCTTCATCCAGAAGCATTCATGCAGTTTAGCATTTAAGCACACAGACTCATGGCAAGCATGCTATTCATGGCAATATTCACACTCATGCAAGTATGCTAAAGCATAAAAACTCACCTAGTACTCCAAGCAAGGAAAATATGAGTTAGTAAAATATGCATGATTCCTAACTATGTTAAGTGTCTAATGCAACACATGCGAAGAATGAAATTAAATAGGCTTGGCAATTAATATGGCATATGGATTGATTTGAACATGCGATTAAACACATATTCAAAGAAGGTATTGAAATAACAATACAGTTTGAATGATGCGCCGAGCCTTGGTGCATGCAAGACAAGATAAATGGATGAAAGTATGTGATATGCTAATTAAAACATGACCCTAATCTAACCATCAAAAGCGATCAAATAAATGGGAGAAAGACGTGAGGTTGGAAAACATACAAACACGCACGCACACTTATTACAACATTACGCCCTCGCGAAGGAGGGTCCGAATGAATAAGCTAACCAACTAGTTAATTAACTATTCTAGTTAACTAATTATTACTAACTAATTATTACAAAACTCAAATTAATTAACTATTCTAGTTAACTAATTATTACAAACCGAAATCGAATGACTAGTTAAACTAACTAATTATTTACAACACTTAATTAGCTACAACTAATTAATTATAACACGTATTTGATTTATTGCTAATTAAACTAATTAGCTAATC